AGATATGGGTAAACAACGCGATTTAACAGCCTTTGAACGTGGGATTATTGTCGGCGCTCGGAGCCATGGAGCAAGTATCAGCAAAACAGTAGAACTCGTTACATGTTCAAGAGCAGATGTTGTTAAAGTGTTTAAATACTGGACTGTCAGCCGAAAATCTGGGTCTGAACGTGCGAATTGTGGCCGTCAGCGACTAGTCAATGTTAGGGCAGAACGGAGAGTGGCAAGACTGGTACAAGGCAACAGTGCATCAAATGACTGCAGATCTTAATCAGGGATTCTCTCAAATGATCTCTGAACACACTGTTCGCTGTACACTGCATCGTATGGAATATGGAAGCCGAAGGCCTGTTCGAACACCTTTGCTCTCTGCAGTTAACAAGATAAAACATCTCCAATTCGCACAGGAACACAAGGATTGGACAGTCGAGCATTGGAGAAAAAAAAAAAGTAATGTGGTCCGATAAATCACGTTTCCAGTTGCATCATGCAGAGTGAGAATTTGGCGGGAACAGCATGAAAGCATGCACCCCACATGCATGCGTACAACCCTTCAAGCTGCTGAGGGCAGTGTTATGGTTTGGGGCATGTTTTCCTGGCATATCTCAAATTTCTCTCCAGAAGGCTGGGTGACAACTTAAAAAAACACCCAGTTCTTGAAGGGCCAAAATGAATTAAACCCTGCTTCTCCTGAAAAAGGCAATTACACGCAGTTGGTTTTAAAAAAAGGTTGGGACCCTGTTTAAAATCTTTATAAAAACAGAATGCAATGATCTCCAAATCTTATAAACCCATATTTTATTCACAATAAAAAAAACATATCTAATGTTTAAAATGAGAAAAATTTACCATTTTAAGAATAAAATAAGGTAATTTTGAAATTTCATCAGCAACTTCTGTCTCTCGGATATCAGTTACCACTAACGAATGACCTTTTTGGCTATCTGTAAGGTCTTGTTCACACCATGTCCATTGAGGTGCATTTTTCTTAATACTCCTACACATGTATGGCGTGAAAAATTAGGATAAAAACAATTGCTTTTTCCTATGTTCACTGTTCTATACCATACATGTGTGGTGGTATGCAGAAAACCCTCAGATCAACAGACTTCTTGTGAACAAGTCCTAAGGCTGGCATTTTTCCTACTGAACAATAATATAAAGAGCATTCATCCCATTGACCATCAATTTGAGGTACATTCTTCCCCCTGATCACCATGGGGCCCTTCTCTTAATGACAACCAAAGTAAATGGGTCCTTCTTCCAGTCTAGCTTTGATTGTCAATTTTGTCATATACAGTAGTGCTGGGTGTCAAATGTGCTAGGAACACCACATTCCTTATTCTTTGATTTATTCTTATATCATCAACTTACTGGTCATGCTATTTTAAAGCGAACCTCCAACCTTACCTTTTTTCCCCACACACTTGTAACAAATCCTCTCCTGTGTTGACACTGAATACGCTCAATTCCCTGGAAACCTGCTTCTCCACAATATAGCCCTTTTAGGGTTCAGCAGCTATCTTGGTTGCACCTTCATTTCCTTTCTAAACTACCTCCATCAATTACTTCTTCCCCTGATCTGTACAGCTATTAGTTTTCTCTGCCATCAATCATTTTCTTGTCAAGCTTTATGTGAAAGAACATATCCCCAGCATTCCTTTAGACTTGCCTGCAACCAGTCACCCAATCAGCAGACTGCACAGATAAAGTACTCAGTGGCCTGCAGGGAGTAGCAGGCACATCTAAAAGGGATCCTGTGGACGTGTTCTCTCATAAAATGCTTTCGAAAATAATTTGAAAAAGGGTGCTGTGACCTGCCGGTCTCTTCAACCAAACTCTGAGAAAAGAGCAGCAGCCAGAATCAGTAAGGACATCACAGAGTCTCAAAAGAAAAGTATTTATTGAAAAATAAAATGACTTGATTGAGAAAGTTTAATTTCATGATGATCAGGATGGGGGGTGTGGGGGGTATTACATGTGTACACTTAATTTCAACTTTAAGGTTAAAAAGGTTGAGAAAGGCTGATCTAACCATTACCATATACTGTATATTCAATGCTAAAATGCTTGAGCTTCCTTCAAAAATGTAAATTCATAAAGAATTAGAGAGAGAGAGAATAAAAAAAAACAGACTGTGTACACATTCAGAGAATTTGGCGGGAACAGCATGAAAGCATGCACCCCACATGCATGCGTACAACCCTTCAAGCTGCTGAGGGCAGTGTTATGGTTTGGGGCATGTTTTCCTGGCATATCTCAAATTTCTCTCCAGAAGGCTGGGTGACAACTTAAAAAAACACCCAGTTCTTGAAGGGCCAAAATGAATTAAACCCTGCTTCTCCTGAAAAAGGCAATTACACGCAGTTGGTTTTAAAAAAAGGTTGGGACCCTGTTTAAAATCTTTATAAAAACAGAATGCAATGATCTCCAAATCTTATAAACCCATATTTTATTCACAATAAAAAAAACATATCTAATGTTTAAAATGAGAAAAATTTACCATTTTAAGAATAAAATAAGGTAATTTTGAAATTTCATCAGCAACTTCTGTCTCTCGGATATCAGTTACCACTAACGAATGACCTTTTTGGCTATCTGTAAGGTCTTGTTCACACCATGTCCATTGAGGTGCATTTTTCTTAATACTCCTACACATGTATGGCGTGAAAAATTAGGATAAAAACAATTGCTTTTTCCTATGTTCACTGTTCTATACCATACATGTGTGGTGGTATGCAGAAAACCCTCAGATCAACAGACTTCTTGTGAACAAGTCCTAAGGCTGGCATTTTTCCTACTGAACAATAATATAAAGAGCATTCATCCCATTGACCATCAATTTGAGGTACATTCTTCCCCCTGATCACCATGGGGCCCTTCTCTTAATGACAACCAAAGTAAATGGGTCCTTCTTCCAGTCTAGCTTTGATTGTCAATTTTGTCATATACAGTAGTGCTGGGTGTCAAATGTGCTAGGAACACCACATTCCTTATTCTTTGATTTATTCTTATATCATCAACTTACTGGTCATGCTATTTTAAAGCGAACCTCCAACCTTACCTTTTTTCCCCACACACTTGTAACAAATCCTCTCCTGTGTTGACACTGAATACGCTCAATTCCCTGGAAACCTGCTTCTCCACAATATAGCCCTTTTAGGGTTCAGCAGCTATCTTGGTTGCACCTTCATTTCCTTTCTAAACTACCTCCATCAATTACTTCTTCCCCTGATCTGTACAGCTATTAGTTTTCTCTGCCATCAATCATTTTCTTGTCAAGCTTTATGTGAAAGAACATATCCCCAGCATTCCTTTAGACTTGCCTGCAACCAGTCACCCAATCAGCAGACTGCACAGATAAAGTACTCAGTGGCCTGCAGGGAGTAGCAGGCACATCTAAAAGGGATCCTGTGGACGTGTTCTCTCATAAAATGCTTTCGAAAATAATTTGAAAAAGGGTGCTGTGACCTGCCGGTCTCTTCAACCAAACTCTGAGAAAAGAGCAGCAGCCAGAATCAGTAAGGACATCACAGAGTCTCAAAAGAAAAGTATTTATTGAAAAATAAAATGACTTGATTGAGAAAGTTTAATTTCATGATGATCAGGATGGGGGGTGTGGGGGGTATTACATGTGTACACTTAATTTCAACTTTAAGGTTAAAAAGGTTGAGAAAGGCTGATCTAACCATTACCATATACTGTATATTCAATGCTAAAATGCTTGAGCTTCCTTCAAAAATGTAAATTCATAAAGAATTAGAGAGAGAGAGAATAAAAAAAAACAGACTGTGTACACATTCATCATATCATTTGTACAATGGTAAAAATTAAAAAAAAAAATGGGAGGTCAGTTGGACTTCAGGAAATACTGTTGTGTATCCAGACAAGAAGTGCTATTAGGGTCCATTCAGATTTTTTTAGGGCCATGAGCTGGCAATGCACCAAGTTACTGTGCATTGTAGTGCGCTGCAATGCATGTGTCGGAGGAGTGTTGCCTTTGAAAAAGCCTTCAAGAATAGAGAAAATCAAATACATTTTTCAACTTCCAGTTGACTGAAGAATTGCATGACATTACTACCACATTTCCCTATAACCAACAGTGAGATCAAATAATGCCAGTGTTCGTCATAGAACAGGAAAATAATGTATGGTATTGCAGCTGGTATTTGTTATGCAAACATGTCATGTAACAGCTTCCAAACACTGCATATCATTTTTGCACAGTCTAGGTTTACTTGCTACAAACTCTGCACTGAAAGTACTGTTATATTTAAAGGACAACTTCACCTTTGGTGAAGTTGCTGTTTAATAAATGTCTCCACAATGCAGACTACAGGCAGCTGAATTGTATACTTTACTTGTCCCTGTTTCAGAGATACATCTTCCAACAAGGTCCTTGCTTCATACTCCACATGCACAATGTGGCCCCATTCATTCCTATGGTTAAGCTGTACTCCAAGCAAATGCTGGGACCTTGTCCGAGGAAAGATCTCTGGAAAAGAGACAAAGGTAAATATAGGATGAGGCTGTCTGTAGTGTTGTGGGGGCATTAATTAAAAAGGACAACTTCACCAAAGATAAAAGCTGTCCTTTAAAGTGCTCTGTTTATTCGGCTAAAGAACAGGCCTCTTTCTCTAAATTTACATCACTCATCATGGAATGTGAACAGTCAAACAGTACTAGTATGAGGTTTCTCTTGTAAAGACACAATACAGTCACAGTGGTAGAAACCGTGTGGAAAAACATGGCAGTCTTTAATCCCTGGATAGAACCTGGTCATTGCACTTCTCCGCCCATTTGTTTACCGATTTTCTCCAATGGCTAGTGTAAGTGAATTTCTGTTGCACTCTGAAGTCCTTACAGGTGAATTTCTAAATAGCAGTTGTGAAGTTAGAGGTGATAGAGTCAATAAATCTGAGATAATTTCTTTCTGGCAATGAAAACATATGTAAGCCTTTATAAAATACCATAGAAAAAAGCCCATAAGATTTTCTACTCATTATGTAATTCCACAAGACTCTAACAGACCAACGCTAAGAGAAAGGGCAACCATATCGTTCTTGCAGAATCGTCTCCATGATGGAAATACTCTGTAATGAAAGCACAATAATAAATGCATGTTCTTAAATAGTCTCACCGGTCACTGGATTAGAATACATTCTCTAGTAAATCCTAAAAGTAGATCTAAATCCAATCACTAAATTCTCATATAATCTTTACCAGGGCAGATCGTACGTTTTTTTAATCACTTTACAACTATCGCAAGACTAAGGTCTTGCGATGGTTGTACAGTGTATGGCCACCTTTATGTCGTGTGTCCTTTAGCTGAGGTTATAGTTCTTGATTAATGAACTGCTGAACTTCACCTTCTTAGGTTTTTGTACTGCACAAACTGTCTGGGGGACATTTAAAAAATGAGTGCAACCTAAAAACCAAAAAGATATTTAACTTAGGCTAGTGATCCATAGCCTTGCAGTAGAACTTCCCAGAAAATGGTTATTCGAATAATATAGGTCCATATTATAAGGACATTTCATAGAACCAAATTTAGTTTAAAGCCTAACTCCAGTTTGGGCAAAGATTAAAAATGTTCAGTCCCTGGCAGCTCTATAAAGAAAAAAAAACCCAAGAACAGCTCTGTGTTTTCTGCTCATCTGACCTGGGGCACTGTCCCCTGCTGTAGACTTACTGCTCCAGCTCTCAGCCACCAACCCTCACCATAATTGCATTTGAAATCTCAGCCACCACTCCTCTTCCAAATTCAATGCATCATTTATCTCACTTGCTCTAGGTCTCCAGTGCCCAGGCTCTGCCCTCCACCCCCAGCTAACAGGAGAATGCTGCAGACAGCAGTGTCACATAATGACTCTTCAATATGCAAGATCAGCCCACCACTGGAGGAGTGAAGACCTCTGGGGGGGGCAGGGG